CCTACATTTTATTTACTTATTTTGAGTGTGTGGGTATGTGCATGTGTGTGCTTACAGTATTGCCAGCATGTCGAAGCTAGAGAATAGTTTGCAGTCATTTCTCTCCTACTACATCACTCTTCTTGTGATTAAACTCGGGTCTTTAGAGACCAGCCCATGATCATCATACTATCTCAGTATGTAAATTCTCACCATCTTTGGCATGACATTTTGTTGTAGACAATTCACAATGCGTCCAAATGTTTTTGATTACAGCTACTAGAGAATGGAAGGATGCTTCTGCTGTCTCTAGAATAGGGTCAGTATAATAGGGTCTAGAATAGGGTCAGTGACACGTCTTAACATGAGGCAATCCTCCCATAGCAAACAATTATTTATGTAATAATAATAATCCCAAAGCTGTGATCATTTCATAGTATAGAATGTCATGCTTGCCTTCAATATTGATGGTTTTAAGCTACTTGGATATGATGTATTAAAAGCAACTAGTAAAGTGTATGAATGCTAGAAGATGAAGGATAAACTACAAGTCTACTATAGCAGTTAAATTTCTAGGGCTCAGCTTTTGGGACCCTGTCACAGTATCCATTGTGTGCCTTACATACTATGCTTTAACCACAACACTTAGCATGGCTAAGAGTTCAGAAACACTTTCTAAATCATTAGACATCTATTAGACTTTGTGTATGGCTACCAGGCTTCAGTGGGAAGAAAAATACGTCAAGGTTCTGTACCAGATGCTGGTTGTGTTTGTTGCACAGTGGGTTGAAATGAGCAAATTCTGGCAGGTTTTCCTAGGGAAATGAGGGAAAGTAATTTTGTTTGTCTTAGTGAAATAGCAACCATTTGTCTCTTTTTTTGCATTACTGGTTGCCCTGACCTATACTACTGTGTCTTGTAATTAAAATAGATAGGAAGTATGTCTGTAGGTAACTTCTATAATTTGGAATGGAAATTTAAGACATTTTTCATTAAGATTCTATTAAAAAAACAAACTGTTTTATGCTAAAAAATTAAGCCATGGGCCTTGAGGGAATTAGGCAAACATTCAACCATATAATATTCCCAGTCCTGCTACTGATTTTTGAATAACAACAACCTTGGACTAGTTATTGGGGGAAAAATGATTAAAGAAGATTAATCAAGGGATCTGGGCAGTTGGCTCAGAAAGTAAAAAGACTTCCTACATAAACATGGGGATCAGAGTTCAAATCCCATCACTCCTGTAAAAAGCAAGATGTGGTCACTCACTTGCTTTTAACCCTAGTCCCATGGGAGTTGGAGAGAGAACAATGGCTGGGACTTGCTGACTGCCAATGCAGTCGTAGGTTCAGTGAGAGATCCTGAGATCTCTTTCTAGGAAATAAGGTGGAGAGTGATGGGGCAGGGGCAGGTCACATTATGTCTTCCTCTGGTCTTCACATGCATACCAGCACTCCATTCTCCCCAAGTGTGTACACACTACACACACACATGATTACGTGCACAAAAATTATAAAAGGAAAAACAGTCTGTATCATGAAGTTAATGGGTATAAAGCAATACATGCAAAAAGTAATTTAAAGTGTTAGATAATTTTGTTTAGAGTGTTATGCCAAGAATTAAATGTATCTATAGTCAAGTGAAATTGAAATAATTAAAATACTTTGTACTATTTCCTTTACTTGTACCTGGGTCACGCTTTTAACTAGGATTTTGACCAAAGTGTTTCCTGTGATATATTGAATATTAGTGGAGACAAAAGGAATAATTTGGATACATGTAGATGATATAGTGTGAACCTTTGTTGTTTTATGTTATTAACTCACTGTGATATCATTCTAAAAATAGAAGCACAAAACACCTAACAACTTTTATCCACTTTTGTGTTCTGAAATTGTTTGATTCTTGTGATATGCAGTGTACAGGTATGCTTTGTAAAATTGCAATCATCCAGACATGTGCACATATTGACGTCAACCAGTATTGTGACGTAGTGGTGCAGCCATCCCAAACACCTACTTAGAAAGAAATGAAATCTACACATTTACATCCCTGCTGATTAATTTGAGTGTCAGTTTCTCAAATTGCGTCTTTAGGTGTTTCGTCTCATTGTTTCAGGTCACCATCTCCATCTCTGGTCATGTACATTTCCTGTGACCATTTTCTGTCTTTGGTTTTGTGGTCAGTTTCCTTGTGGTTGATATAAATATATATCTTTCTTTAGATGCAGTGGCGTCTCCCTTTTTAAAAAAATTCCAGTCCTGAACCAGATTAGGGTCAGGTTCTCAGGGGAAACAGCAGCCAGGTCAACACCCTAGGCAGGTGGGCTGTGCAGGCAAAGGCTCTCAGATTTTAGTTCTTTACAGAGGTAGACAGGCATTTGGGATTCCTTGTGTAAGCTTTTCATATTCTACCTGTGTAGAAATGCTGCAGAATAGGAAGGTTCTGCGGGCACCCTGCACCTGGGTCCTCTCCAGTTACAGGCAGAGCCTGTAACATGGATGTGGGAGGGTGGCTCCTGAGTGTCAGGAAATGAAGCATTGTTCCCGCATCTTTTGTGGTGCTCCATCACCAGCTGCCCTTAGTGAAAAGGGCCTCTGATTCCAGACAGGTGCCGAGAGGGACCCACGTGCCTAAGATCAGAGATTCTTTAGTTTTGTCTCTCACATTTTGAAGGAGTGATCGAAATACTGGTAATAGGATAAACAGAATGAGTTACAGGAGAGGATTGTGGGAGTGAGCTACAAGATATTATCTGATTTTTGGAAGGTCAGTTCTAAGGAAATTCAGCAGGGTTTCTCCTCTGTCTTTTCAGCTCTAGTTGAGAGGTAAGAAGTTGAGACAGAGGAAGAAAACACATTCACGCAAATTCACACACTACTAAGTTCAAACAAACAAAGAGAGCCGAAATAGAGGCAGCTTTTGTTTCAACCTACTTACCTTGAAGTACCTGCTACGGTAATTAAAGAGTTGGTTTCTTTTGATAACAACTCTTTTCAGTCGGTTCTTCAGAGCTTTTCTCCCCAGAGTTCTTGCTGGAAGCTGCGACTGGAAGAGTAGAATCCTAGTCACACCGGTGGCCATCCTTTCTACTCCTGCCAGGGGGAGCATAGGAGAAAGCAGGGCTTAGCATACAGGGTGTTGAGCAAACAGAGGCAGGGACCTGGGGAGGTTATGGGCTTTTGTGGTAACGGTTGGGCTGAGCACGTGTGCAGATTCTCTTGTGTCAATATTAATATTGAGTAATTATATGTCCAATATTAACAGGCAAAACTGACCACTCGTTGATTGACTCATCGAAAAGTCTGGTTCTTATTTTACCTGTACTGCTTTTCTGAATTTATAAACGATATGGGGGCTCCCTCTTGTGGTTATTCTTGAATTGCATGACATTTTCTGTTTAATTTTACTTACCTGTTTAATGCAATGCCCTACACATTGATGAAATGTAGTGTGATAATTAAGGACGTGTATAATATGCAATGCTCATAATTAGCATTTAGCATTTACCTTTCAGCCTTGAGTTACTTAGGGAACCTGGGTCCCATTTGCTAGTTCTTAGTCTTGTTGATAAAAAGCATTTGAAAATGGAGAGAGATGGAAACTTGAAGACTCTTTATGGGGGTATGAGAGAAACTCATCTAGGAAGCAATCTGTAGATCCCAGAGGCTTCCCGGAGGAGGACGAGAGAAAAGACAAAGTCTTGACTCTGGTAGAGGCCGGGAAAGTAGGGCTGTTTCAGCAATCGAGGTTTGTGTGTAGCTGCATGGTAGGGGTTGTTAAGGTGAATGAGAGCTCCGGGGCGGTGAGTCTGGTAAGCTTCAGATTTTGGCTCCTATTTGAAGAGGGGTATGTGAAACACATTGCTTCCTCGGTGTGAACTCAGAAAAAGGTGTGAGCAGGCCGAGCAGTGAGGTCTGTAAGCAATGCACAGCCTCAGAGGCTTGGGCATCTAAACTTGCTGCCCTTCATAAGGGGATGGGTGATCCTCCATCTTCTTAATTCACCTACACATGTATCACTTTTCCCCAAAGATGGTCTCTGGCCAAGTGACTGATGGGGCTCAGGTAGATTCGCTCTTGCGGGAGGGGATGACTGTAGCTTTTATATGCTCGTAATATTTGGGTTTGCTTGGAAACTCATGTCTCAACCCAGAGTAAGATACAATTTAGAAACTTAGGAGTCCTCCCCCTCTCCCCCCCTCCCCGCCCCCTGAAATTATGGAACAAAGTAGATTAGAGATAATTCAAAGAAAAACTAAAAATAAAACTGATCATGCATTTGCTTGATGGCTTTTGTATGACTTTCCTGTCTGTAACTTGCTGTCTTGCCATTTGTGCCTATTGAAAGAAGTTTGAAAAATTATTTCGTATTTTCTGTGTATGACTTTTCTGCCTGCCTGTGTATCTGTGAACCACATACATGCCTAGTGCCTGTGGAGGTCAGAAGAGGCCCTGTGAGCTGCCCTGTAGGCGATGTAAATTCTACTTGGGTTCTCTGCATGAGGACAAGGTGCTGGCTTACTGCTGCGCCGACTCCAGATCTCATGGATCTTGGTCTTAGGGTTTAATGTTTTTCGTACTTATCCATATTTGTCAAGTGTGTTTTTTGTCCTTGTAAGTCCTCCAGCCTTTCCTTCTCTTTGCCTGTTCTGTTTCTAATAGTTTGTTCTCTTATTTCTAGTTCATTCTGTCATTCAAAACATTTCCATGAGCTCGTAAACCTACATCTTGACCTCTTAACTCAGGAGTTAAATGTGATTTGGGACTCTTTTTAAATTTTTAGATCCAAATATTAAGTAATATTTCTTTATACTCTAAATTTTGGTATGATAGTAACTCCTAAATTTTCTCAAATAACTTAGATGCCTATTTTGTTGTTTTTCATATACACCTGTAAGTGTGTTATATGCAATCAAAATGAAACAATTGAAAAAGATATCTTAGGTGAATGTAATTTGTAAATAAATATTTACGTTGTTAGCTAAACTTTAAATTCATATTTTCCCCCCACTAAAGATACATGCTTAACGAGGAATAGCACCAGATGTGTGTCTTCATCCTCTCTGCTGTCTAACTACTTCTATGTCTTTGTCTTGGGACAATTGTTGCTGGGGACTGGAGGAACTCCGCTCTACACCCTGGGGACAGCCTTTATTGATGAGTCCGTGCCTACACACAAATCTTCTCTCTATATAGGTGAGTGAACTCTTGGTTTCATTTTCTAAGGAGAGTTGGTGAACCACTTACCTAATATGATTTCTCTTCCTATTGCTCAAGGGAAAAGACAAACAAACAATAACAAGTTAGTTGTAATGCCACCTTCATTTAGATAAATATGATTGCACTGTGTTTAACTGTTTACTGTGCCATCAAGTCAGTTACTGGGATGCATGACTGTTTTATGGTCCTCTATCCTAAACAACTTAACATTCCTGAATAGGAGGAACCAGGTCGGCAGTTTCTGCTTTGATTATGTAAACCCCAGGGGATGTTATTCAGGGTATAGAGGTTTCTTATATCTTATAAGGATGGGACAAGAGATAAAGAAAAAAAAGATACCAGTTGCCCAAAACACTGGAATTTTTCATTTTGAAGCCATTTTTTCTCTAATTCTTTCTTTGAAATCTAGCACCAGACAATAGAAGTCCTTGTGTCTAAATGTATTGTAAATTACTGGCACCTGAGTTTGTCTGTGTACTACTGGATAATAGGGGAATCTTTGGTACAGTGACTGCAAGTCAGTATATGCGCCTCAACCCTGACTGTTGAGATTATTCCAACAGAGAAGCATTTACATAATTGCATTTACATCTTTACAAAAGTTATGAAGCATCCATAGAGGTGATTATTGCCATACAGTTGGAAATATTGAAAAATAGTTCATGACCCCAAAACTTTACAAATGACTAATTTCTAGCATTTCGGGGGAAGGATTGAGACAGCATCTAACTAGGTAGCCCTTGGATAGTTTGCAATGGTTGTACAAGTTGGCCTCAAACTCAGAGATTCTCCTGTTTCTGCCTTGTGGAATTAAAAGCACATACTTCAATATCCAGCCCATTTTTAGCATGTCTTTAAGTCATGGTTTTCTGCCCACAAACAATTTTGAACATGAGAATTTATGTGCATCTACTAATACCTTGTATACTTAAGTTTTTTAAGCCCATTTTCTAAATTTAGAAACATGGCTATTGTGTATTTTAATACACATAACATATTAGGACAATTTTTGATTTTACCTTGCATCACCTTTATAGCAGAGATGATAGTAGGGATCTAATAGTTACCTAAGTCCTTTTGTCATCGATGTATGCTTAGTTTGGAAAAAAAACTGTTTTGAGTGTGTATGTGTGTGTGTATGTGTTTACATGTGTATACATAAGAAATTTAGCAGTAAATAAAAAATTTAGAAGAAGTAAATACAATAAATTTTTTGCAAACGTTTTATTATATATGACAAGATTTTAAATATCTCATAGCCAGAAATAATCTGCTTACCCCTACTGTTAGTAAAAGTGAGAGAACTCACTAATAGTGTTTAATAGTAAATGGATTGCTTTTCAAATTAACTTATCACTGGGCAGTGGTGATGCATGCTGTTAATCCCAGCACTTGGGAATTAGAGACAGCTAGATCTCTGAGTTCCATGACAGCCTTTTATACAGAGTGAGTTCCAGGACACCCAGGGTTACACAGAGCCCCTGTTTAGAAAATATAAAATAAAGCAATATCAACCAACCAAACATCAACAAAACCCATCAGCTGACTTACATTGTAGAATTACTATAGAGTAAAATAAAGAAAGCTATCTAAGAGGCTTCGGATTGGAAAGGATTCTTTACCTTGTTTACTTTCACAAAATTATAAGCAATATTTATTGCTAAAAGGAAAACAGTATATATACCACTTCACCATTAGTTAGTTACAAAATATACATAGATTTGTAGTTATGTGTTTATTTTAACTCTTATTATTATAATCATGTAGTCCTATAGTGAGACATTATTTTTAGGCTCCTTGACATAACTGTTAGCCATATTATATTTCATGATATATCTATATAAATATATGTAATTTTGATATAGCTTTAAACATTAAGAATTTTCTTTACTAGAGTTATTTTTCTTCCCTGTTGTTACAATGTTGAGCAAAGCAATGACTATTGCTAATGCCTTTTGATCTTTTCGTAGGTATTGGTTATTCCATGTCAATCCTAGGCCCTGCCATTGGCTATGTGTTGGGCGGACAGCTGTTGACAATGTACATTGATGTTGCTATGGGACAAAGGCAAGGCACTGTTTTTCTTCTAATTTTTTATTCTATTTCAATAAAGTGAACTTCATAATGCCATGAAGGATTTCAGGAAATAAAACAGTGTGCACTATATGATATCAACTGTGTCTGCATTACTTCCAGGGTCTTTTAGCATAGTAATGTATTTATTCATAAATAAAGATGTCTAATAGAATCAATGGTGATTTATAAAAATACTTTATATACTCTTTGTGTCACTCAAGAATAATAATTTAGTAAATTAGCTTCTTAGTAGATTTAGTTGCAAATAGATAACATTAATTGTCTTATAAGTATCTGAATGATAAAAGGTTCTCCAATAGCTTTGATAATATTATTAAAAAAATAAACTGTGTTGCTTTTATAACCAAGGAAGTCGAGATAACGATACTAAATATTATTTATCCATTATTTATATTTTATACCTCACATTTTGTGTTACAATATATTATGTATTATCCTACTCAGTTCTGCAGATAATTATATTCAGCAGGACAGTCCATGGGAAAGGATAGTCAGCTTTAAAAATCATGCATTTTAACAACAGGGGAAGACTATCAGAGTGATATGTCTGAGGAAAATACTTATTGATATTAAATTATGAGATTATCATAAAATTTAAAAATAATAATTTAGAGAAGTACTCTTCAAGTATACGGGGCTTTTAGCATAGATCAGTGAATTGCTATGTGATGTATTTAGTCTGCTACAATAAATGAAAAAAAAAAGAAAACTAAACACTATGTTGAAATTTTATAAGCTTTTACGTATTCGTCATGTTTATATTTACTGTTAAAATTTTTAAACCGTGATTCTGTATTTGCTGCTTTGAAAAGATTTATATATTTTTATTCTCTGTGTATGAATGTTTTGTCTGCATATGTGGCTGTGTACCACCTGCTTGCCTAGTACCAGCAGTGGCCAGAAGAGGGCACTAGATTCTCAGAACTAGAGTTACAGGTGGTGATGAGCCACCATATTGGTGCTGAGAATCAAACCCAGGTCTTCTGCAAGAGCAGTATGCACTTAATCATGGAGTCATCTGTCTAGTCTCCCATGGTTGCCTTTTTAGAATGCTTTCTGGACCATTTTTCTTAAATCTTGCTATACTTGTATGTCTGCATGGTTCTTAACTCATTGCGATGGCTTCCTTACAGTTTTAGATACAGTAAGAGGCTACCCCTTTGGACCTGAATTACAAGACATGTGATTGTTATGACTGAGCTCTGTTTAATACTGAATGAATTATAACTCTTTTCTTCCCGTATCCTTATAGTTCTGATCTGACTGAGGATGATCCCCGGTGGTTGGGGGCTTGGTGGATCGGATTCCTTTTAGCTTGGCTCTTTGCTTGGTCTTTGATAATGCCTTTCTCCTGTTTTCCAAAGCATTTACCAGGTAAATCCATCTCCTTTAGTTTCAGAGAGCTTTATTGTACATCTAGGTCAGTCGTTTTTAAGATGATTAGTAAGAATTCTAGAATCATTGTTCATGCTTGCCAGTGCAAAGATTTGAAATCTACCTTCTTAGACAAAATTAAGTAACAATAAGTTAATATTAATGAATTTACACTTACACTTAGTGAGTACTATGTACTATGCTCTACTAAAACTGTCCTTGTGTTTTATTGTAATTCTTGCCTTATGTACATACAAGACACAATCATAAACTATTACTTCATATCCAGTTTGTCAATAATTTTCAAGGACAAATCATTGTGAAATCATTCAAGCTAATTATTATTAACTGTACTACTACTTACTCTTTCAATTATGCTCGAAGTAATTCTTCCACATATTAATTTATAAACTGTTTTTCAATATTAGACAGTCTGGAAAAAATTTCAGTAGAAATGAATATTCATTTTTATGAGATCTTGCTTCTAAAGCAGTTTTCTCAAATTTGAACGCATTTACTTCTTTTGTAACTAAGACTTTGCAAGTGGATGGAAGGATACAGAGGTGTACTGAGCTGTGTGAGGTGGGTCAAGGTATGTGGAAGAGGTGGAATTTGAAATAAGGACACTTGACACACTGGAACCAAGTGAACTCATCGGTATCTTTCCATCCCAGGCTATCCTAATTATAAAGCCACATGAGGATACTTCTCTCAGACCTATTCACAGAGCTATGATTTAAAACAAAGGGCCATGATGACAGACAGCAAATATTACTTCCTCTTCTAAGCACTTGCTTATTTATTGTTTTAGTGAACAAAGGACAGTCACACATGTATTTTAATCTATAAACACTGCCAAAGGAAAACAATTCCAAATAAACAGAAGACTTCAAATGAAAAAATAATACATGTTTAGAACAAAACCATGTCATTAAATTAATATTCATTGACTAAATGTTAATGTTTAGATAGATAGGAACTTGATTTGTTAGTGGGTATTTTGTTTTCTTTTTAATTTTTAGACAAGGTCTCAGCCCAGGCTGATTCTGGCCACAGATTTATGCCTGTCCTCTTGGCACATCCTCCCAAGTGCTGAGATTATAAACCAGATGCATCATACCTGGGCATCCTTTATGCATAATAATGAATATTACCCCTTAGCATATCTTGATTACAGGCATAGCTGTGATTTTATAGAAAAAGGACTCAAGTGATAGGAGTTCATCTTGGCAAGCATCTAACTGAATGACTATTATAAGTTGACAGGCGGGTGCTCTGAAGCAAGACTATACAATAACAAATGGTCTGAAAGCACATATGAAACAATCAAACTAATCAAACTAATCTTTGATTAACTGCTGTGAGGAAATAGCTAGAGAGTAACTCTGGCCAAGGACAAGCTGTGGGGTCCTTCCTGGGACATGAGTACAGCTCAGGTTCAGCTGCAGGCCAAGTTTTCAGGCCTTTTTTTTTTTTTTTTTAAAGATGGAGGCTGGTCTCAAGATGGAGTGGGTTTTGGCCTCTCAATTAACAGAAAAAAAAATTCTAGTGGAATTTACATACCCATAGAATGTATATCAATTAAAGAGTAAGCATATTTAAAAGCTGATTAAATAGTAAAACAAGCACGTTTACTCCCCCTCCCTCTAGGGACAGCCAAAATTCAAGCTGGCAAAACTTCCCAAACACATCAAAATAATAGTACTTCCTTCCAACATACAGATGAAAATTTTGGAAAAAGTATTAAAGATTTTCCAACTGCTATAAAGGTAAACTAGAAAGTGTTTTCTCTCCCTCTCTCTCTCTCTCTCTATTTCTTTATCTCTCTATCTCTCTATTTCTATCTCCTCTCCGCCCCCCCCCCGTGTGTGTGTGTGTGTGTGTGTGTGTGTGTGTGTGTTTGTATGTGGGTAAATTTTAACCAGTGTCTCATAGGAACACAGTACTTACACTTGTGTATATGTTATATACACATATAAGTAACAATATGCAGACTGGTATCATTTTATACCTTGTTTTCTTATCTATTATTATTGAAGCTATTATATGTAACTTTTCTGATTTAATTTCATTGCCTTTTGAGCTCCAGAATAGAATAATCAATTTATTTCATTGACAGTGTAAATGTTCAGCGGCTTCTCGTTAACATGTAGTCTGTTTTTCATGCTAATTCCACTATGCCATCCGTTGATCAAATTTTCACTAATTTTAGCTATCTTTAAACATCCTTCCTTTTGGATCATCCATGGTTAGTCTTAGTAGTGTCAGGTTATTTCCTCTTTTTATTGAAAGTTGAGAGGTTCTGTGTTAGTTTCATCTATCCTTAGCAGGCAGCTATGCTCACCACTGTACAACCAATGTTCTTATCTATTCATGAGATCTGGAAATTTGGTGTGTTAGGCTTATACACTAATATTATGAAAAAATGGGAAGTATAGATCCCTATTTAAGCTTACTTATCTTTGTATAAAAGGTTCTATGATGGTTTGTATATGCATGGCCCAGGGAGTGGCACTATTTGGAGGTGTGGCCTTGTTGGAGTAGATGTGTCACTGTGGGCATGGGCTTTAGGACCCTATCCTAGCTGCCTAGAAGTCAGTATTCTGCTAGCAGCCTTCAGGTGAAGATGCAGAACTCTCAACCCTGCCTGTACCATGCTTGCCTAGATGCTGCCGTGCTCCCACCTTGTTGATAATGGACTGAACCTGTAAGCCAGCCCCAATTAAATGTTAAGACTTGCCTTGGTCATGGTGTCTGTTGACAGCAGTAAAATACTAACTAAAACAGGTTCTTAATTACTTTAATTATGAAACAATACTCATCCATGATCAGTTTCAAGTTACCCACTTAGTGGATTCAAGAATTTATATTTTAGCTGGGTGGTGGTGGCGCACGCCTTTAATCCCAGCACTTGGGAGGCAGAGGCAGGCGGATTTCTGAGTTCGAGGCCAGCCTGGTCTACAGAGTGAGTTCCAGGACAGCCAAGACTACACAGAGAAACCCTGTCTCGAAAAAAACAAAACAACAACAAAAAAATTTATATTTTAAATGATCTGATAAGAGGTGGATTTATAGTGTAGACATCTACAATAATCCAAGAAGAACGGAGCCTTTCCAAATGGGCTTTTACCTCTTCTGCTGGGCTCCTGAGGGCAATAAAGGAATAATGACCCAGGTAGTAACTCATTTGTCAAATCTCTAGGTGCTTCACATACAAATGTACTCGTGTGTGTGTGTGTGTGTGTGTGTGTGCGTGTGTGTGCATCCATTAACCATAATTATATTTTCCTGCCTGAAGGAACACTGTAGTTTAAATGTTTGTATTTCAATGCTACACTTTGTGCTGTAATCACAGGTATTCATTTGAACTGTGTTTTTTTTTTCCTTAGAATTTGATGAGGAATACAGTCTTTATATGTTTAGTTCTATCAACTACTTCTGAAGCATTAGTTACTACAGGATTTGCCACATTTTTACCTAAATTTATAGAAAATCAATTTGGATTAACATCGAGCTTTGCAGCTACCCTTGGAGGTAAAAGACTTTTTAAAAAATACTTAGTACGTTGATTCTGTGTAAGCACGTTGTTTTGATTAGGAGGCTACATTGTTTTGGATAGCCCACACTTTGTTTTGGATAACCCACACTTTGAAGGTTTTGGTAGAATTTTCTGATTCTCTGAAATCAGTGTTCTGTATCAACTTATGACAGACCAAACTGGACTAAGAATATATTAATTAGCATTTAAATTGGATTAACCTTCTACTGCCTGTATCAATGGCATTTTTTGCATGTGTTTTTATGTCAGGTAAATGCTTTTATCTGTAGAAGCGGTGGTGATGCTGGTTTTGATGTTTGCCAGCTGTCAGTATGAGTTACAGAGCATAATTGTGTGTTTTTCATTATCTTACTTCTCATTAGGGGCTGTTTTAATTCCTGGAGCTGCTCTTGGTCAAATCTTAGGTGGTGTTCTTGTTTCAAAATTCAAAATGAAGTGTAAAAATACAATGAAGTTTGCATTATGTACATCTGGAGTAGCACTTGTGCTGAGTTTTGTATTTATTTATGCAAAATGTGAAAATGAGCCATTTGCTGGTGTGTCTGAATCGTATAATGGGTAAATATATTTCATTGCTTTTTATATTCCTGTCAGAGATTATGTGTGCATTTGCAAGTATTTCCTTTCTCAATATACATGATTAGGAATTGCCTTTTTAAAACATTTAGACACCCTTTGCTCGTTTCTTTCAGTGTAACACTATAAGACTTTGTCTTGTTTTTTTGCTTGTTTTAATTTGAATATTTAGTGCCCTCTTGAAAGCTCTGGGTGTTCGGTAAGTAAGCAGATTAAGGGTGATGTGTTTGGCTCAGGGATTCAAAGAGAAATAGAACATTAGAGTTTCTCTTGCTAGGATTCATATATGGTAGAGTTTGAATGTATTTTCCAAAAACTTGTCTGTTGGAAACAATCCCCAGATCTATGTGCAAATGCTGCTTGGAGGAAAGGACTTTAGGAAATGATTAGGAGGCCCCAGGTTTAGGATTAATGTTTTTCCAAAACAGACCTCAGCTAGCTTGTCTTCTCAACCCATCCTTTGATGACCTCATCTATCATCAGAGACCAAGCAGGTCCTGCTTCCCTTTGCTTGGACCTCCCGTCCTCCCATACTCTTCCCTGTCTCAAGCAAACCTTTTGTCTTTTTTAATTGTTTACCATGGACATTTTCTTATAACTACAGAGAGCAGACTATGGCAACATCCTAGAGAGACTTTAACATTCTACTTTCCTATTAACTTAAACATTTAAAAATAAGAGTTATTCTTGATGATGAAATTCTCTTATTTCGGTTGAAACTATACCAAACTATACATTCAAATAAAACTAAACCTGCATCATACTGATTGTTCTATTCACTTTGAAATTTATGTTTACTTTAGAGAAACAAATAACTTCTTATTCTGTCCTGCAGACCAGTTTCTCCCTCTAACCAGTTTTCTTGGTCAGGTTTCCTTTGCTCTGAAGTCCTACACCAGCAGTGGTAGATCAGGCAGGTGAGATGCCCTAGGAAACATTCATTGTGTTTCCTGTCACTGTGCCTGTGTGTGGCTCTTGAGGGAGGTGTCACTCCAGGCATAAGATTCCATAGTTTTGTATAATACTGCTTTCACATGACACTAAATTCGTTTAGGAAAGTTTGCCAATAACAATAATATTGATTTGTTGCTATGTTCACGTGTCTGTCATTTGTGTTAATATGATGCCAAGTGCTCTAAATCAGTGTTTGGTTAAGCTCCATTACATTTAATCCAAACATCTTCATGCTTCCTCTTACAGAGACAATGAACTCTTACTCTAAAGCAGACATTGGAAAACAGAACACCAAATGAACATGGGTTATGTAACTGGAGCTCTAGAAACTTCTGTAGCAGTCACTGAAAGATGTTTTTTTTTTTTTTTCAATTTAATTCTACTGTAAGTAGGAAAGGCTTGTGACCTAAGAGCAATTTAAAGGTGTTAAGGAGCTGCGAAGGAGGAATAGGAGCATACACACCACTATGGGAGAGGAGCAAAGGAGGCAGTGTGGGTGGCGAGGGGGAGGGAGAAAGGACACACTACTGAGGGTATACATGATAACAGAAATAAAGGCCACTTTTTCAGCCAACGGATTGAGGAGAATTTGAATTACACTTCTGGAAATAGCAAAAAAAATCTGGAAATGCAGAAAATATACCTGCCAACCTAGGTATGATTCACATGTTTTACAGGTTCACAAGCACATGTTTTATCCAGTACTTTGAAGGCAGAAGCAAGTGGATTTGAGAGAGTTCAAGGCCAGCCTGGTCTACTTAGCAAGTCCCAGAACAGTCAGGATAACTTAAAGAGACCCTATCATGGAAGGAAAAAAAAGAGGAAGGAAGGAAGGGAGGGAGGGAGGGAGGAAGGAAGGAAGGAAGGAAGGAAGGAAGGAAGGAAGGAAGAAAGAAAGAAAGGAAGGCAGGCAGGTAGGAAGGAACTACATCACAAACATTTACAAGTTTTCTACTAATAATTTCCTTTTCATCGCATGGCAATTTTTTATAAAATACAGAGAAATTGACTGATAATAGGAAAAATGTTTCTTTCCATTATTCCTGCTGTGTTTTGCATAAGATCATCTTACATTTTGAATATTTTCAATGCATGCTTGAAAATAATATGACAATTAAGTATTGGAAATTTTAAATTGAAAGAATGGTATAAATTTTAGTCCTAGCATGAGTTGCTAGGGCTGATTTTCTCTAGTCTCCTATCTGTTGACCACTATAAACTTTTTGTGGACAGAGACTAGAATATTTTCATAATAAAATTGTGCTTGACAAAGGCACATGGCCAAATTTTGTAGAGCATAGCTACACAAGGAGATACTCCATTCAGAAGGACAGATTGCTTACAATCTTTTGCACTTATTAATTTGTGTATATATGTGCAAGAAAATCAAAACAGCTTGTGGGAGTTAGTTTTCTCCTAATATATGGGCTCAGGTCATCCACCTTAGGGCCTGTGCCCCTTTTCAATCTTTCTAGTATTATAAAATCTAGTTTTTCATTTCCATTTTGTTTTACCACCTGCTTACTAGATTTCTACCTTCTTCCTTGATCCACCTCTTTCATAAATTTCTTTGCTTCCTTCTTAAGTACCACTATTTTCCAGTTTGGTATATTATATTCAAATACTTTGATGTGTCCACTGGTTTACACATTTTACCTCCCAAGGAAGTATTGATGTATGGGTTGCAAGAATAATGCTTTCTCTCCTATCTCAGGCTCTGGTTTCCTCTTAGTTATGTTTCTACCACTCTGTTTATAATAATATATCTGAAATTCACTATGCAATCATGAAGTAAACTACCTCCCAAGACCTCCACCTATCTCCCAGCATCAGCTATATCCAACATCAATACACAGCCAAAATTATAGTCCAAAATAAAATTGTAAACATACTTAAGAGAGTATGAGATTATGTAAATGTTATAGCTAGATTTTGCAATGTGTGTCATAGTATCAGATTGTGAGGTCTGTTTGTACTCTATGTGGCAGATCTTGTCATTATCATGATTTCTTTTAAATCTGGATGAAAATGGATAATACGATTTCTAACCATTGATCAGTTGTCCATTAACTTGAGACTCTTAATGTGTATAAAGCCATAGTAGTTACCTCTTCCTTAGAATTGGGTTCTCCTCTGCTAAACAGTAAGAGTGCCTTTGAATTCCTTGAAATGATGCTTCACCATCTATCAATAAACAAATATTACTGATTCTGTGTTCAAAGGTTTTCTCCAATCTTTGTTATAATCCTGTCGTATTTCAGTTTCTCTTTATATTCTGATCACTTGTTTTGGATGTTATGACTTATCTCCTTCCCTCAAGCTCATGCAACTTTAGAGAAGAAATGCTTGCTGAGCAAGTGTGGAAATCCATGGGTATGTTGGATGATCATGGTGGTCCACATTTAATTCCATCACTTGGAAGATAGAGACTGTGGATCCCCAGAGCAAGCTGGTACCAAGACCAGCCTGTATCAGAGATCTCTGGGGTTAGTGAGAGATCTAGTCTCAATTAGAAAAGTAATCAAGAAAGGTACTCAATGCTAACCTTTGTCACATGTACACATGTGCACATATGGAGATGCAAACATGTATACATACATTCATATATACCATGTGCATAAGAAAACATTTTGATGAGCTTTTGACATATCATTGTTGCATGTAATATATATATGTATAATAAATGGTCATTGATTTTTAGAAGGCCCCCGAGGCAACTGTTAATCCCATCTCTGACTTCTTACAAGGACATACCTTTTCATTTTCTGTTTCAAATATTACTTCCATTTCTTGTGTTCCCTTGTTCCTTTTCTAATTATCCACTGTCTGGCTAAATTTTGCTCATCTTTAAGACTCCTTAGGAAGTAGCTTCTCAGGTTTCTTTTCTTCAAACTTTCCCTCATGTTAATTGACCTGCCTTGGAGTTTGTAAAATGCATCTGTAGCTATCAGTAAACCATAATCCCAGATTAGGATACAATGAACCTACTTCTGTCCCTGGATTCTATCCTATTCAGCTTCATGCTCACTTTAGTCAACACAAGGCATACTTATCACCTGCTTCAGACACACTGTTGAATGGCACTTGGAATGGTAATGCACCAGGAATGATCTTTAATTGAAATAAGCCTTTATATTGGAATCTCTGTGACCATTTATATTAGGACTTATGTGCCCTGATATTAGGACTTCTTACAGACTGGAAGAGAGGGCATAATCAAAATATTACGAAGTCTGAAATTAGGAAATTTACTTTTGCAAAGAAAGAGATTTTATAATGGTATTAATGACTGACGACATGATTTTATTCACCTTTTTTATTTAAAAAGGTGACTACTTTTTGAATATGTTTGCAAATGTCTAAATGTAAGTATATTTTCATTGCTACAATTAAAGTAAAAGCTACTTGCAACATTGGTAGCAGTAGGGGATACTGCTAACCATCTGATGGATAATCAGTAGAACCAAGAGCTGTTTGTTGCCAGGAAATCCCGATATTTATTGAGGCATTCACTCCAGTTTTCTTTTGTGAAAGCTGTTAATACCTTTTATTTGACAACTTTACCCTTAAAGGCTTACTCTAATTAAGTGTGCTTCCCCAGTGCCCCACCCATTCATCCATTCAACAATGTGTCTGACATAGGTGATATTTAGGCCTTGTTTTGAGCAATGGGAACATGGCGCTGGATAAGACAGCACCTTTCCTCACAGATTTCACTCTATGAATAGAGGTAGGTTAGCTGTATACTTAATCTCATGGAAAAGCAGACATTGTGTTTTATTCATTTAGTACTTACATGTTGAGTGGCTTACTAAATGTTACAGTGGGCAAAATACTACTGCTTCTGAATTGTTCCTTAGGTGTTACATTGCAGAAAATCTCACCTCATCTATCTTGTCTTATTTACAGAACAGGAGAATTGGGGAATTTGACTGCACCGTGTAATGCCAATTGCAACTGTTTGCGGTCCTACTATTACCCACTCTGTGGAAGTGATGGAATCCAGTATTTTTCTCCCTGCTTTGCAGGTTGTTTAAACTCAGTTTCAAACAGGAAATCAAAGGTAGCCATGTTTCCTCTTTACCCCGATGAAGAAATGTGAATTGTGTATTGTGATTGTTGTCTTGACTCTCCTAGTGGGCTACTCTGTCTTTTCTCTCTGCTTCCCTTTCTTTTCCAGTTACACAGACATGGTCTCTTCAGACCCATTCCCTCATGTCTCAGGCAATTCTTGCTGAACTCAGCATGGCAATTATATTACCATCTTATATTGTTTTGTTTTTTTCTCAATTATAAGATGCATTATGAGAGAGTGATTATGAGAGCATGGTTAGTAATCAGGAATATAATGAAACACTAATTATTTTCAAATTTCACACACCATGAATACAATGTAAAATATCCAAATCAATAATTCAGCCTCAAATATAAATTTACTCTTATTCTCTATTGATTCACCCAGAAATATCTTTTTAATACAATTAAATAATTTCAGACAAATCAAGAAACTACCTTAGCAGACAATGTGCTTGCCTTTCATGTTTGAGCCAGTGGACTCCATCCCACCATGGCCTATGCTGGATGCATGTGTTGTGTTACAGGATATTTGATTACACTGTGAACCCTGAAATTTGGCTATTGACTGAAGAAACCTGTTTCTAGTTGTGGTGTGGCTCAACACTTAGTATGCACCTTTAGTCCCAAATAATGAAGGTAAAGTTAGTTTGTAGAAGTAAGCACCCATGTTTGACAGTGGTGTCTAATTGAGTGGCAGACAAAGTGACGAATCAGAGAAAGATTTGACAGAATAGGTTATGTACCATGCTCAGGAGTACAGACAAAATAGAGAGAGAGCAGTGCAGAGAGGGAGAAAGAAAGGAGGCAGTTTTACTGGGATGGTTGAACAGAGTCAGGTTGAAGAGAGAACAGTCTAGACACAGGTGAAGATAGGATGAGCCAGAGAATGAGAAGGGACCATTTAGTCAGAAGCTGAGAGAAGCTAGATTGAATTAGTCAGGCTGGAGAGGAATTTAAGTCAGTACAGCTGAACTGAATGAGACACCAAAAGATCAGAAAGAACCAGAAAGGGAGAAGCTTATTCAGTAGTAAATCTCAGAGGGAGAAAATATTCTAGGCCTTGATAAGATTATCTGGAGGTTGGAAGCTTCCAGGACTAGGCCTAGGTTAGGTTAGCAGACAGATGCAATACGCTTTGGAAACAACAATTACCACAGGAGAATAAAAAATACTTTTACAGTGTTGGCATAAATCTGCCTGTTTTTCAGCACTCAGGAGGGAGAGGTGGCACTCTGAGTGTGAATACAGCCTAGTTGACATAGTGAGGCCCTGTCTAAAAATGAAAAGACAAAAAACAATGTCAGAGAGCTTAAGATTTTAGCCATCAAATGGAGGGGTGTTTACTCTAGTTAAGTTGGAAGGCCTTGACAAAATTCAGTAATATGTCAGTTGTCAGGAATAAAAATCCTATAAGTTAGGTTGGTGGCAATATGGAGTCAGAATTACCTACAAGGTAGGGGACTGACTAGTATTTTCCTGTAGTTGAAAAGTGTACCACATGTGTGTACCTACTGCCTAAGGAAGTAAAGATGTTAGATCCCTAACATCTTCTGGAACTGGAGTTACAGAAGGTTGTGAGAAACCATACGGGTACAGGAATTGAACCCGACTCCTATAAGAGCAACAAGTACTCTTAACCATCTCTCCAACCCAAGACACTCTTGTCTTATGAACTATTTCATTATAAAATACACATATAATAAAATAATAAATGCTTGTGCATTTTCCAGAAATATAAGTAATATTTTTTGTCAGTGACCCAAATATAAAACATCGACTGAGAGCTCTGTCCCATCTTTTATTGAGTTTTTCAATGAGAGTGTGACAGAAAATACTGTGGTCAGTTTCTTGTCTTAAGGTGTTTAAGTTGAGGTGCTTGCAGTTAAGCATGAATAGCTGAGTTTGAATCCCAGCACCCACATGGTGGAGGTACAGACTCCCACTCATTGTCTCCTTCCCTCTGAATGTGTTCTGTGACTCACCAGACTCCCACAGTAAAATAATAAGTGTCATAAAATTTTAAAGTGTTTAGTATGAGTGACTTAATTTTTCACTGTACATCTGATTATTACTATGTAATAAAAACATTTTAGAGCATCGTTTGCATATTTTCTCTACCCATACCAACACCACTGGTAGTATAATTTGCTACAGAGAAAGAATCTACCCTTGAAGCCCTGAAAACTCTTTCTTTCACTTCCCATCTCACTATGATTTTGTCGATGTTTTAAATGTGTAAAAAGTTTACATTAAAGATAAACATTGAGATATACAATGCCTTTAGGACTTAATAAAGTTTCTAAATATCTGATCATCTTTCTATTTGGATAAAATGTAATTTTTCATTGTGTTTCCTTTCACAATGCTATGATGCTATAGGCATACATCAATGCCTATATGCCTGTATATAAGTACATGAGAAATAACCAATATGCTATTTATAGAAACTCCTTTTTTTGTTATCAGACACAAGCTATAAAAAGGATAACTTACTTTCTGTAAGGTAGATCTAAAATTCAGAAATTTGTCTTTAAAATGTTGTGGTTAAAAGCAGCATTTTGTTAAAGCTGTTGTGCATACAAGGTAATTTTACCATGGCATTTATCAAAATTATAGTGTTTTCAAACTAGCTCACATAATGAGATTGTCAGCATGGATGCCTCTGTTTCCCCTGTAATGGAAAAGAAGAGTTAGAAGGAAGACATTAGCTGGGCAATTATGGTCTACTGAAAGCAATGTATGCAAAATATGAGAAAGTGTGTCACTGTTATATCCTTGTCAAGTTGTTTTATGTCATGAGCCAATAATATACTACAAGATGGAGTAACAGCTACAGAGTCAAACACAGGTACTTCATACATGTGGCTTGTTAGAATTTGCTTCACTCCTTACGAGGGTTAATGACTGTCATCACTGTCAGCTGTCTATAGACTAGGACATGACAAGGTAAGACAAAAATAATTTCAAAGTGTACAAAAACTTTGTCCTTTTTGTATTTAAATTTCAGGTATATTATAATTGTTCCTGTATTGAAAGGAAAGTAGAAATCACTTCTACTGCAGAAACTACTGATTTTGAAGCTAAAGCTGGAAAATGTAAAACTCGGTGCACAAGCTTGCCCATATTTCTTGGCATTTTCTTCATTACAGTTATCTTTACCTTTATGGCAGGTACTCCTATAACTGTGTCTATATTAAGGTAAGCATGGCACTTGAAAACTTGCATTTTCTAGAAAAGCATATTGTGAACTTAGAGGTTCAAGTCGGCTTTTATTGATTCGGGCAATAAAATTCATGCATCTTGAATTCTCAGACTCCATGGAAGCCCAGGTGCCTGAGGTTTAAAGAAACTAACATAGGAAACGTCTTACTATTGCCCACGTGGCAAGTGTTTGGCATTAGTCCCTTTGTGGGTTTCACACATGACCAGTGTGAGCTGGAAATTTGATAAGCTGTCAACTCCCTACAAAACACCAAGAAGCTAGCTGTCATCTCCGCATTAGCTGGCGGTTTTTGCTTTTTGTTGTTTTTTTCCCCCTTTAAGGCTGCTCTACAAGAGTTTCTACCTTCCATCTGAAAGTTTTCTGCCTGTTTTCCAACAAACACTAGGCTTTTTCTTTCTTAGTACATTGACTTTTAATATTCACCCACTATCATTCCTATTTTTAATAAGTGGAAAATATATGGTTTGTAAATGATATTAAATGATAGCAATGCTCTATCTGAGAATTAGAGGTATTTGGCAAAAAGAAACACAATTTAAATTATATAACTAACTTTTTAACTGCTTAGTTGTTTGTACTTGTAGTTTTTGTTGTTGTTAATTTGTAGTTTTAGTAACATTTCAGTATCAAGCACTGGCTGGCCTTGAATCTGCAGTCACTCTTTTTCTGTCTTAGGTTCCTAATTGCTGGGATTACAGGCTTGTGCCCTTCTGCCAGGCTTATATACTTGCTTAGAAAGATGAGTCACCTTTTTTGTATCTCACATGACTTTTCTGTGTGGTGATGTTAGACATCATTGTTGTCGAACAGTCATTAAAGAAAGACTTATTACTATTATTGAATCCAGATTCTGTATTTTATCTCCTCAGTTTATATCCTCATCCTATCTGTATTATTTCTGTCTCAATGTTAGAAGTAATAGCATTTGAAGCTTATTTAATAGTGGTACAAAAAAAGGTGTGTTTTTTTTTTTTTATTGCAGGAGTATAGTGTTACATACCTGTGACCCCTACCTAAAAAGGTAGGGCAGTAGGGCTTTTGGTACAAATGCCAGCTTAATTTAATTGCCTTCCAGATGCATTGCAATGACTAGTCAATTAAAGTTGTATGTGTTACCATTCAATATATTAAAATACACATACGACATGAAATTATTACCACAAACTAATCCATCATCTCTCAGGTCACCATTAATGTATGTGTACACATGTGGTAAGAATGAGTAACATTCATTCTGCAAATTTCAAACATATAACACAAGTTTTGGGGGGGAAGGGAATCAGGAGTTAATGCAGGGTCTCATGTAGGCCCGGCTGGTCTTGAATTTGCTATGGAGTTGAGACGGTTCTGCCTTTATGTACAATGCAGTCACCACACTATGCATTCCATCTCCAGAATTTAACCTGTATAACCAAAACTTTGCAACCTTTGCAAGAATTGAACAATTCATTTGACTTTGGTCTCCTGTAATCACAACTTTCCCCTCTACACCTCAAAAATACTTTAAATTTTTATATATTTGTGTTCATTTATATGTGTACACATATACCATGGTATTTGTGTAGAAGTCATATAACATCTTTCAGGAGTAACTTTTCTCCTTCGCTCCTGTTGTTCTGGGAATTGAACTTGGGTCACTACTCTTGGCAGCAGGCAACTTTACCCACTTTGCTTTCTTTACCAGCCTTCCCTTTATCCTTTACTTCCTAATAAAGCTGATGCTTCAGGATCCATGTATGAGTTGGAACATGCAATTATACAGCACTTTGATTTAGTCTGTTTTATCTCAGCACAATATACTGTAAGTTCATTCACTCTCTACAAATGGTATGACTTCTCTTTCCTAGTGTGGTATGATATCACATGCCACATTTTCTTTGTCCATTTATTTGATGATTGACTTGTTCGATAGCTTAACTATTGTTAACAAGACTGTAGTGAACAAGAAGGGCAGAGATCTTTGACATTTTACTTCTGATTTTAACTTCTCTGAGAAACTGCTGTCTGTTGATCTGTCTGCATCATCTCAGTTTTCTTTCTGTAGTTTACACTGGCTTGCTTTTCCATGTTTCCATGTTTCCTCAAGAACATTTTGCTTCACTAATGAACTAACAGGAGCAAGATGGAATCTCCTGTGGTCTTAACAGGCATTTGTTTATGACTACTGACTTTGATATGGTTTTCCACACTACTTCTGGTCATTGCTGTGTCTTCCTTGGAGAACGGTCTGTTGAGATCTTTTCTCTATTTTTTGGAAGTCTTTTCTCATTGTTGTGCTGCTTGAGTTCATGATTTATTTTGAATGAAGTGTTTCCTAGAAGCCTCATTTACCAGCACTTTCCTGTACTCTGTCTCTTAACTTTGCTTCCTTTGCTGTGCAGAAATATTGTGGGATAGGCCTATTTGCTTCTATTTGCTTTCTTAGCTTATGTGTCTGGTATGATAGCCAGAAATGTATTTGCTAAAATGAATCAAGAATTTTATGCTTTTGTTTTTACAAGGACAGTACACAGGATTAGTATTTGTGTTTAGTCTTTAATCAATTTGAATGTGATTTGTATAGTTTGAGATAAGGGTCCAATTTCATTATTTTGCAGGTAAATATAGAGTGTACAATTTTCTGAACATAATTTATTAAATACAATATTCTTCCCCCTACTATGTGTTCTTGACATCCTTGTCAAGTATTAGTTGCCTATACATTCATGTGTGTTCTGTCCTGTTGATCTCTGTGTACGTTTTTATGCCAGACTCAGACTGTTTTTATTATTATAGCTTTGTTATTGTAGTTTGAAATCTGGTAATATTATGCCTCTAACATTGTTCTTATTAAAAAAGTTGGTATAGCTTTTCTGGGTCTGTTCCATATGAATGTTCTATTTTCTATTTTTATGGTATTTCATTAGCATTTTGATGGAGATTTTATTCTAATTGCCTTGGATAGTATGGGCATATTGACAACATTATTTTGATTCATGAACATTAAGATGTCTCTCTGTATGTGTGTCATCTTCCAACATCAGTTTTACATTATTTTAATATCCAAGAGTTTTATCTCATTTGTTTAATACAAGATATTTAATTA